TTAAACTTAATTAATAATGTTGTTATAGGAAATTATTTACATTATATGTAAATGATTAATGCATTAAGTTATCTATTACTACTCCCAAATTACTCTTTTAAATTAGAGATAAGGCACTGAATTTCTCAATCCAATCTGGCTCTGAGTTGTTGACATTGTTTATTTTTCTTTATTCTTTATTCTTATTGCACCTTTTTTACATATACATGATATTTTAGACTATAAACAGGGAAGGGGGATGGAGATAATATTTTTTTTCACTAAACAACAGGCTCCACAACTGAATATAACAATCATATACTGTATTTTCCGGCGTATAAGACGACTTTCTAAACCCTGAAAAACGTCTTAAAAGTCGGGGGTCGTCTTATACACCCAGTCGTCTTATATGTCGGAAAATACAGGTATTCTATTTTATTCCTTTATATAAGCTGAGGATGCGATGGGGGCGGCGGCCGGGAGCCGCTGCCTCCCGTCCTGCTCCCCCTCCCTGGACACGATGGGGCGGCAGCCAGGACCTGTTGCCTCCTGTCCTGCTCCCCCTCCCAGCCCATTCAGCTGAGGACGCGATGGGGTGGCGGCTGGGAGCTGCTGCCTCCCATCCTGCTCCCCCTCCCCACCCATTCAGCTGAGGACGCGGCGGCCAGGCTGGGGGCGGCATGGACTCCCGACGATGCCGCAGTGGCCGCTGCCATGCCGCCGTCGCCACCACTGGAGCCGCTGCCTCCCGTCCTGCTCCCCTTCCCTGCCCGTTCGGCGCCATCTGCCTTTCATTCTCTCTCTCTCCTAACCTGGAGGGAGAGGGAGAGAGAGAAAGAGAGAAAGAGGAAAGAGAAAGAGAAGAGAGAGAGAGAAAGAGGAAAGAGAAAAAGGAAAGAGAAAGAGGAAAGAAAGAGAAGAGAAATAGAGAAAGAGAGGAAAGAGGGAAAGAGAAAGGAAAGAGAAGAGAAAGAGAAAGAGATGAAAGAGAGAGGAAGTTAGAGGAAAGAGAAAGGAAGAGAAAGAGAAAGACAGAAAGAGAGAGAAAGTTAGAGGAAAGAGAGAAAGAGAAAGAAGAGAGAGGAAAGAGAGAAAGAGGAAAGAGAAAGAGAGGAAAGAGAGAGAAAGAGAAGAGAGAGGAAAGAGGAAAGAAAAAGAGATAAAGAGGGAGAGGAAAGAGAGGGGGAGAGGAAAGAGAAAAAGAGAGGAAAGGGAGAGAAGGAGAGGAAAGAGAAAGAAAGGGAGAGGAAAGAGAAAATGAGGAAAGAGAAAAAAGATTGAGAAAAGAGAGAGGAAAGAGAGAAAGGAAAGGGAAGAGAAAGAGAGGAAAGAGAAAGAGGAAACAGGAAAGAGAAAGAGGAAAGAGAAAGAGAGGAAAGAAAAAAGAGGAAAGAGAGAAAGTTAGAGGAAAGAGAAAGGAAGAGAAAGAGACAGAAAGAGAGAGAGAAAGTTAGAGGAAAGAGAAAGAGAAAGAAGAGAGGAAAAAGAAAGAGAAAGAGGAAAGAGAGAGGAAAGAGAAAGAGATAAAGAGGGAGAGGAAAGAGAGGGGGAGAGGAAAGAGAAAAAGAGAGGAAAAGGAGAGGAGAGGAAAGAGAAAAAGGGGGAGAGGAAAGAGAAAATGAGGAAAGAGAAAAAAGATTGAGAAAAGAGAGAGGAAAGAGAAAGGAAAGGGAAGAGAAAGAGAGGAAAGAGAAAGAGGAAAGAGAAAGAGAGGAAAGAGAAGAGAGAGGAAAGAGAGAAAGTTAGAGGAAAGAGAAAGAAAGAGAAAGAGACAGAAAGAGAGAGAGAAAGTTAGAGGAAAGAGAAAGAGAAAGAAGAGAGGAAAAAGAAAGAAAGAGAGAGAAAGAGGAAAGAGAAAGAGATAAAGAGGGAGAGGAAAGAGGGGGAGAGGAAAGAGAAAAAGAGAGGAAAGGGAGAGAAGGAGAGGAAATGTCTCCCTGAGGCCAAGGCCGGCCATGTCTGAGGGACGCGGCATTAGAATGGTGAGGGGGGAGGTTGGGGGGCTAAGAGAGGGTGGTGTGATCAGTACGGTCAGTGGGAGGGGCAGATATGGCGGGAGCAGAGGACCATATCGGGTTCTGGGAGCACGCACACGCT